AGCTCCCTCACAGAAAGTTATTCAATGAAATGGTTATGAATTTGCTGTTTGATGTCTGAGACATTGTTTTGTGAAACGTTTTGGCTTAAAATGCATTTTAATTCATTTATTTTAATCCATTTATGGCAAAGAGAGGTACATGCAGCACACTGTAAGGCAAAATAGTCCCATAGTTCTTATCAGCAACACTGTAAAGAAATCTGAATCAGTTAGTTTCTCTAGAACAGAGCATCTCACATCAAATCGCTCTAAATGACTTTAACATCTGAACCATTTAACTATGCAGAGGTTTTGAAACATGGTTGTCATTCCTCTTTAAACATCTGATTTTCTCACTAGCAGCATGTTCTAACTGCTGCTGTAACAGATAGTACTGTAATAACAGTTCCTATCAGTATGTGTTTAGGTTGATGTGACAGTAAAGTCTCAGCTCCTGGGAAGTTTTGCCGTCAAGAGTAAGAACAACAGAAAGGCAATATATTTTTCTGGTGTTTGTCTGAGTTGTTTATTATTCAATCTGTACAGTAGGAAACCAAACCCTGAACAGTATGGGAGCTGTAAGGATGTCTCGGAAGTTTTTTACCCTTTCAACTGAGAAGCTAAGACCGCCGCAGTGATCCTCAGCCTGAGAAAACACACACTTAGCAGCCCTGAAAGTGAACAGCGGCACTCTTCCTGCTCGTTTTCTCTTTTAGACATTCCTCAGCAAAGCCCTTTAAACCTGCTGTGGGAAGCCGCCTGGTGAAAACCGGAGCAGACGAGTCTGCTGGACGCGGATGGGCCTTGGTGTGATTTCGCTCTCCACTGCAGATGAAAGCAGACAGACCTGTCCAGCTCTTTCTAATCACCCCATTAAAAACTCTGTCCGCTACCAGCTGTGTGTGCGTGTGCAGACAGAGAAAGGTGTCCCTGACGGGTCTGAAGATCCATTCACAACATATTTTATGCCATTTCCAGCTTAAACATGGACTTGTGAAGCTTGTAATGAGCATACAAGCTGCATTTTCTTGACCGGCCACTTCCTTGAGTTTTGAAACACTGTGTCCACTCACTGTCCACTCTATTAGACACTCCTACCTTGTCAGTCCACCTTGTAGATGTAAAGTCAGAGACGATAGCTCATCTGCTGCTGCACGGTTGTGCTGGTCATCTTCTAGTCCTTCATTCGTGGTCAGAGGATGCTGTTGGCTGGATATTTTTGGTTGTTGGACTATTCTCAGTCCAGCAGTGACACTGAGGTGTTTAAAAACTCCAGCAGCACTGCTGTGTCTGATCCACTCAGACCAGCGCAACACACACACCACCACCATGTCAGTGTTACTGCAGTGCTGAGAATGATCCACCACCCAAATAATACCTGTACTGTGGGGGTCCTGACCATTGAAGAACAGGGCGAAAGAGATGGACGACATTCTGTAACTGAACTACAGAGTGGAACAAAACGTCATTCATCAACACACAATGAAGTGTTCTTTAAGGTGGCTGGTCTGTGTAAACGATTTTATCATGAATCTTTATGGAAAGGTCTGTTTTTCAGTATTACTGAACCAGCCCGTTAGGCTATTAGCTACCTGCTGACCTCGTCCAGTTATGGAGAATTTTAAGTATAAACCAGTTAAAAAGAGTTTGCAACAGCAACCAGCGATGTCTGACTGTCAGTTCTTCATTTGGGCGCATTTTATAGACGTTTTTAGACCCTTAAACGTTTTTTCAACAGATGAAATATTAGCTCATCGTGAAGCTTTCTGTCCACTGTTAGTCTGTAGTACTATTCGTTAACCCCTAAAAAGACCAGGATCCACCAGTGGGCCCAAAGTTTATTACACACTTCTGTAATCTAAGAATAGCTCAGCCAGTTTGCACTAAAGTCCCTGTAGTTACTGAATAATAAGCCTTAGAATGTAACCCAGCAAACACAGTTACGTTATGACAACGTTGTGACAACCTGTTGTTTTGGTGAAATGTAATTCCTCAGAAAGTTGTGATGTCATCTGACAACACTGTGACAGTGCTGGGGCAACGTTGTCAGTACGTTGTCACAACCTCGTAGAATTCTTAAAAGTTCCATTATGTTGCGCATGAAACTCCATAGAATTTTCCTACGTTGCAAACAGGTAGTCATGATACCGTATGGCAACGTTACTGAATAATGAGGTTATGACAATGTTGTGACAACCTTGCTCAAACAACATAAACAGCACCACCTTTTTGACAACGTTGCAGCTACATTGTAAGAAAGTAGACAATGTTGTGACGATGTTGTGTGTTTGCTGGGAATAAGCCTTGGGTGTTAAGGGGTTAATCAACAAGGCTGATAGGTTATTAAGGTTGATACCTTAATAAAAGAATGAAAAATTCAAAGGCCCTCACAATTATATAGTTTGTGGAATGGAATATAATAAACCAATGATAATACTCAATAATTTGATATGTAATCCATTCAGCTCATACCTTCAGCATGAACACGTTAGTCAATTTCATTATTATTTAGCTGGACTTTACATGCCTTAGTTAAACTTGTTCTGATGTTGTCAGCTAGCTTACTATGATGGTCAATCCTATCCTGGCTGATTAATAACAATGAAGGGTTCTTTAGTAAACAGAATGGTTTTATTTAGAACCATGAGTTCTATATAGGACCATTTCATGCTTAAATGGTTCTCTGCATGGTGAAATGTTTCATGAGACTGATGGACAATGTGCTGTAGATGGTTCTGAAATAAAATAAACCATGTTTTATAATCCATGTACAAGGCAGGTCAGTTTAGCACCTGGGCTCTTTTAATACAGAGCAATGCTGTTGTAATACACGCAGAATGTGGTTTTATTGCCTTACTGAAATAAGCAAGACCTTTCCTGAAAAAGACGTCGTCTGGATGGCAGCACATGTTGCCAAAACATGTATATATCGTTCAGCATTAATGGTGCCTTCACAGATGTGCATGTCACCCATGCCATGTGCACTAATGCACTCCTTTACCATCACGGATGCTGGCTTTAGAACTGTGTATCAATAACAAGCTGAGTGTCCATGATTTCCAAAAAGAATTTCAAATGTTGATTTGTCAGACCACAGGACATTTTTCCACTTCGCCTCAGTCCATTTTAAATGAGCTTGGGCCCAGAGAAGGTGGCAGTGTTTCTGGATCCTGTTTATTTATGGTTTCTTCTTTACGTTTTAGAGTTTTAACTTGCATTTGTGGAAGCAGCAACGAACTGTTTTCACAGACAGTGTTTTTCAGAAGTGTTTCTGAGCCCATGCAGTGATTTCCAGTACAGAATCATGTCTGTTTTTAATGCAGTGCCACCTAAGGGCCCAAAGATCAGGGCCAGCAAATACTGGTTTTTGGCCTTGACCCTTGCATACAGAGATTTCTCTGTATTCTCTGAATCGCAGGACATGGTAAGACAAAATAGTCCCCAAATAAAACTTTTTCAGATATTCCACTATTTTACCATCAGCATTACATATAAAAACTCAGGTGGTCATAATACCATATGACAGACACGTGTAAATTCACGGGTGGTTCTGAATGGTAAATAAAATGGCCACATTTGTATTGTACACATTACATTACACAGAACCTTTTTGAAAATGGTTCTATATAACACTGAAAAGCTTTCTTCTATGATAACAATGTAAAGCTTGTAACAACAGGAAAGGGATATCCAATTTCGTCGGCAAAGGCCCCGTGTGGGTGCAGGTTTTCATTTTATACAAGCAGAGCACACCTGACTCTACTCATTTAATCAGTCAGCTTCAGTCTTCAAACAACTGACCATGTGAGCTCCTGCTTTGTTGCAATGAAAACACACAGCCACGCTGGCCCTTTGCAGATACGACTGAACAACCCTGCAATAGGAGAACCCTGCACACTACTGCCATCGTCAATCACGTGACACCCGATAACCGCACTATTATACAGGAACACTTTGTGAGCATCAGCAATGCAGAAACTTCTGTTCTAAAACGTTCTGCTCTCAGGGAAGAATACATGTACTGTCACTGTTGGAAGAAAACTTCATATCTCCACAATGGAGAAAGAAAAAAACAGTCTTAACTTGTAACGGAACTTAAGTTTTCTCCAAGTAATTTTAGACCATTTCTGTTGGTCAGTTCATCATAACTTTTACGCAAAAATTACAAAAAAACAAAAACATTTTAGAGATGCAATGTTTTTGTGCTACAGCACTGATGTACACCGATCAGGCACAACATTATGTTTCTATGCTCATTGTCCATTTTATCAGCTCCACTTACTATATAGGTGCACTTTGTAGTTCTACAACTACAGACTGTAGTCCATCTGTTTCTCTGCATACTTTGTTGGCCCCCGTTTACCCTGTTCTTCAGTGGTCAGGAGTTTTTAAACACATCAGTGTCACTGCTGGACTGAGAATAGTCCACCAACCAAAAATATCCAGCCAGCAGCGTCCTGTGGGCAGCGTCCTCTGACCACTGATGAAAGACTAGAGGATGACCAACACAAACTGAGCAGCAGCAGATGAGCTATCGTCTCTGACTTTACATCTACAAGGTGGACTGACAAGGCAGGAGTGTCTAATAGAGTGGACAGTGAGTGGACACAGTGTTTAAAAACTCCAGCAGCACTGCTGTGTCTGATCCACTCAGACCAGCGCAACACACACTAACACATCACCACCACGTCAGTGTTACTGCAGTGCTGAGAATGATCCACCACCCAAATAATACCTGCTCTGTGAGGGTCCATGGGGGTCGTGACCACTGAAGAACAGGGTAAAAGGGGGCTAACAAAGTATGCAGAGAAACAGAAGGACTACAGTCTGTAATTGTAGAACTACAAAGTGCACCTATATAGTAACTGGAGCTGATAAAATGGACACTGAGTGTAGATACAAGGATGCCTGATCGGTGTATATATACTCACTGATGCAGCTTCCTCCCTACCAATATGTCCCCACACTGCGACCCACCAGTGAGCAGCGCCCCAATGGTGTAAGAGATACTGAAGACTTACTTGCTCGAAGAACTCGTCCATGAAGCCTTTCTCCATGCCCACTGCCACCTCCTCCTCTTCCTCGGTGTCCTTACCCTGCAAGACAAACACATTCTGTTCATTTTAGCGTTTAACGACAATGTAAACACTTTCCAAGCTGAGACTTTCCAATATGTAATTAATCTCTCTACAGACTAATTAGACGGTCTGTAATCAGTCTATGTATAGAGAATATGATTGACAAGAGAAATACATTTGTTCTGAAATACATTTCTCAAATAGAAAAAACAATGACGTCTTTTTATAGCCGGTCCAGCTGCATGTGCATGTTAGTCCTGCCCTGTGAAAACTTCGGCCCTCCCCACGTTTTGGTTTGCCCTCCCCAAACACTGACTGCCCACACAGCATTGTGCGTGTACCACTTAAGGTGGAACAGGAAAATTCATAATGTGCCAGAATGTAGTCTTAACTGCTGCACTTTTAAGGTGGAACGGGAAAATTCAAACAAGAAGCTGAGGCGACGGAATGTAGTCTTAACTGCTGCACCTTTTAAGGTGGAACAGGAAAATTCGCACAAGAAGTCGAGGCACCAGAATGTAGTCTTAACTGCTGCACCTTTTAAGGTGGAACGGGAAAATTCAAACAAGAAGCCGAGTCGCCGGAATCTAGTCTTAACTGCTGCACCTTTTAAGGTGGAACACGAAAATTCGAACAAGAAGCTGAGGCACTAGGATGTAGTCTTAACTGTTGCAACTTTTAAGGTGGAACAGGAAAATTCGACCAAGGAGCTGGCGAAAAAAAGAAGCTGATGTAAGCTTCACTGAGAGCTGAAGTGCATGAAAAGGGATAAGGAGGTTGCTCTGTTTCTGCTTGACAGATGGGTAACTTATTTCTGCACAGAACCAGTAGGTCAGTATTATTTTGTCCCATTTGCTAATGTCTGTGATAGCAACTGGTTAGCTTCACAGACAGCTTGCTAACCCACAACCTAGCTAATATTAGAAACATTACTTGCTGTGTCATTGTTCGCTCTAATATTGTGTCATGGTATTTATCTGTACAATGTTGGTGAAGAATTTTATGGCCACGAAGATCTAAAAAGTGTTGTTCACCTCAGCAATGTGCGTCCATGGATTGGGGGGGGCGGAGCTTCTGAAGGAGCACTGAAGGGAAGGGCCAGTTTTTTTATTATTTTAGATTTAAACATTTTCTAATAAATTTTCCAGTCAATACAAGATAGATGTACCTAATGAACTGTATGTAGTCAACTGTAAACCATTAATTTAAATGGAGGTCTGTAAATTAGCAGGAGACTGGCTGTTGCTGCTGTGTGTGAGATTAAAGAGAGTTTGCTGACTGATCTGGTTCAAAGGCCTGAGTGAACCTGTGTGAATTTTCCCAAACCATGTTCAAATGATACCTTATCTACCATTTCAGGAGCTCTATCAGAAAAGCTTGACCACACGGTTTAAATTCAGCACTTCTTAATAAAGCCATTCTTTTCCAGCTTCAGCTTCACCACTTACATTCAAACTTCTCTCGTTCCAGCTCTGCACGGCAGACATGAATGGTGGTGGGAGCTCATCACCTAGAGCCGATGAAAACTTATGGACCGTGAGTCATTAGACCAGCACTCACCATTGATTAGCACAGCGGGTCGAGTGATTAGCAGCCTGTTATTCAATCAAGGCCCTGCGAGCCAGACAAGCACATAACTGAGAAACGGGGAGGGAGGTTTATTTCGCAGGCGTCTTGAAGGGTCGGGTTTATGAATTTAGTTTACTGGACTACTTAGGATTTTTAGCAGGAAATCGACAACTTCATGGGCAGCCCAGGATGGGTAGATATAATCTGTAGAAAGCAACTCTTAAAGTATATCTGTATTATTTCACCATAAAGGGCCAACATTAAAATGCTGTATTATTGTAACTGGATGTCAGTAAATGTATTAAAGCACATGCATACCTGATGACACCAAATGCGTTTTTTTGGGCCGCAAAAATATGACACTATTTTATTCTGTTCGTAAAGGTGTGATGTAGTGCGGATAATGTGAATTATGTGTTTTTCATATACTGTAGGGTATAACCCCAATATGTAGCAACTGTAAGAGACTAGCGATGCACTCAGCCCATGATTCGATTCTCGATACTGAGTTTATTGTGATTTGATATTCATAATATTGTGAACAAAGTGAGTATTAATTAGATGTATGCAACCCGCTGTGGAGATCTGTGCAAGCGCAGTAGCCAGAATAAGCCAAAAAAAATCAATTTTTTGTGTTATTGAGCCAAATGCTACATTTATGAGTTTTTTGTCAGATTTTAGCGGTGATTTGAAACGTGTTTTAACCTGTAATTTGACCTTCAGTGTCAAATACTGCTCTCCCCCCATTCAAAGAGTGAGGTGTCTGGTCTTGTTTGGCTCGAAATAACTGCTCGGCAGTGTTGGAAAGACAGCCGTGGAGTGAACAGACTTTCCTATAAAGACTTTGTCAGCATCCACTGTGACACTGGTTAACTCTGTTTGCTCATTAGCTCATCTAAACAGGCAGCCTCCGTTACTATTTGTTGAGAGGTGTTGTTTGGGGGCATTGTTTATTTTCCACACGGTTAACTAGATACCTGTTCAACTCTTTCAGATACTCGAATATCAAAATTAGTCAGGATGCAGATCTGTAATGCTTGAGTGAGGTGTTGATCGGTGCTGATTATTTACAACCTCTGGTATTCAAACAATGCAAGTGCATTTGTACAATTAATAGAATGTCTATTCTCAATGATGCACAATGGCACAGCTTTGCAGTGTAAAGTCACATGATGCACACTTAGTAGCAATATACTATAAGATATGAGTATAGTTCATATAGTTCAGTAAGTCTGTTCATATCATGCAGTCCCAGGATGCACCACAATATTAGTACCAGTACTCACCAGATAATGGCTGAAAATGACAATATCAGTCAAACTAGTCTATGTTCTGTAGCAATAAATCATATGTTTCTGCGCAGTATGGCTCTTATTAACACTAGGAAAATCAGAGGTGATTTACAAAGAAAATTTATAACATCTGCTGAACGTGTCTTATGTGATGTATTATGGGCTGTATTTATTTTTAGCTGTAATAAATCTAAAAGACTGGTCTCGGCATCATGCCAGCAGAATATCAGTGCATTTCCAGCGACTGATTTTCACATTCGCATAACTTTGTTTCTACTTGAATAATCAAATACACCTGCACAAACTCATAATAACACCAGCTGCAGTATGTTTATCTTACAGGACTCCATATGTATCATCCAAACTGAATATATATCTCAAAGAGAAACGAATGATCATAACATGCACTGAGACGGAGTCGTATCCGTAATCAGTATATATATATATATATATAAAACATTATGACCACCTCCTTGTTTCTACGCTTACTGTCCATTTTATCAGCTCCACTTACTATATAGGTGCACTTTGTAGTTCTACAGTTACAGACTGTAGTCCATCTGTTTCTCTGCATACTTTGTTAGCCCCCTTTTACCCTGTTCTTCAGTGGTCAGGACCCCCGTGGACCCTCACAGAGCAGGTACCATTTGGGTGGTGGATCATTCTCAGCACTGCAGTAACACTGACGTGGTGGTGGTGTGTTAGTGTGTGTTGTGCTGGTCTGAGTGGAGTTTTTAAACACCTCAGTGTCACTGCTGGACTGAGAATAGTCCACCAACCAAAAATATCCACCCAACAGCGTCCTGTGGGCAGCGTCCTGTGACCACTGATGAAGAACTAGAGGATGACCAACACAAACTGTGTAGCAGCAGATGAGCTATCGTCTCTGACTTTACATCTACAAGGTGGACTGACAAGGTAGGAGTGTCTAATAGAGTGGACAGTAAGTGGACACAGTGTTTAAAAACTCCAGCAGCACAGCTGTGTCTGATCCACTCGCCACTGGCAAGATGGCTGCACAAGCGACCAAAGAAACACACAAATGTGAGAATTTTCTCTGTTAAAAAATTAAAAATGGAGGGCGATAATAAATAATAGTTATATTCACCCCCTTGGAAGGCATATGATGCCCTAAATCTAAAGCAGTGAGGAGCTGAACCTTACCCTCCTCTGCTATCACTGCAGACTGGCAGGGTCGCCTACAGAGCAGCACTAGTAGCTGTTAATGAAGTAATGCTCTTCTTTATTTGACGGTCCAACTTCATAGCGGAAGATTTCAACCACTACCCGTTGTGACTCAGTTCCGAGAGGCAAGGTGACGCTCGAAAACAAGGGGTATGGGCATGGTTTTGTGAATGCCATCTATTTTATGTATTACATGCCTGTACGAACACTCCTTCCAGTAATACATACATACATACATACATCATCTAAACCGCTTATCCTTCTGGGTCGCGGTGTCCTTCCAGCAATGTTTTACGTAATTTGAAAACATTACTAAAATATCTGAAATATATTGGAAAATCCGATTTTCTTCAAGAATCAGAATCAAAGTAAAATCGAGGTGAGGTCAAAGATTTACACCCACCTACTTCACATTAGCCTAAAATGAGATAGAAAATAATACGTTCAAATTCCTACAGCCAGTCTTTCAAAATCTGCAGATGATTAACGTCCAAACCCGTCTTTCAGAAGCAGAATTCAGTGAGGTGTGGACTGTAAAGCTCACCCAGGCGGCAGCTTTGATGGACTACATGAATTCCTGAAGTCTGAACCACCCAGACATGCGTCTTAGCGATGCTAATCTAATGTTAATGGCGAGCTTAGCACCTTTATCGGTGCAGGAGAAGGAATAGCACACAGTTACAATGAGCTTACACGCTGAGGAGAGATTACCGCTGCCTCAGACAATCTGCTAACTGCCAATGCTTAAAGTCTCCTACCATGCTTATCTTCTAGCAGCCTGGCCCTGAGCTCAGTTTGACCTATGGCGCTCATTAATAGCTCGCTGCAGTTTACAGCAACCATTCAAAAGGGCAAGAAGTACATTATATATTAGCAATATCCATAATACATAGATGTAAAATGAAAATTACACTAAGGCAGGGGTTCTAGTCCTTGAGGAACCAAATCCAGACCACTCTTTACTGCTTTTAC